GTACGCATTTCTTGTAGCACTCATGCGCGCTACGTGTTCGTCCCATCTCTTCCTTCTTGATTTGACATTTCTAATATTATCTGCTGGAGAGAATAAATTATTGAGCTCAGTGCTGAGGGAGAGACGTCGAATTGAAAGACAGGAATTAGCAAGGGACTCGAGAAATTACGTTAATAAAGGATTAATCGTTTGTACTTTTTATTTAATGGTACTGGGAATCAAATAGAAAGCAATGAGATGGGCTGGACATGTAGCTTGCACGCCTGAGATCAGAAACGTACTTAAAATTTTAGTCGGATTGACTTACGTGGAAGAGATAATTTGGACGACCAAGGCGTAGATGGGAGAAACAGGAAGTGAGGGTCGTTCAATGCTGACTGGCCCAGGAAAAGGTACAATTTTTGTGAACAGGATAACGATATTTTAGGGTCCTTAAAAGGGAGAGGGATTTGTCGTCAAGCTGTGTAACAGTGGACTGAGGCGTTGAAGGATTTGCTGCAACCTTTTAATAAATTGATTTACATATTTGCGCTTGTTCACAATAAGAGCTTTTACGACACCCATGGAGAACAAGATGGCGTTGTTCTTCAACTGCACATGATTATCTTCTATTCGTACGAGGACCAGATACCCTGCAGCTTCAGAAGTTAAATTGATTTTTTTTTCCATATGCTTCTATGGATTCCTATACGTCTTTTCCACATGATATCACGTGTTCACTTTAAGGACCCTGTCTCTTTATGTTGGTTGGTGATCATTCAGCCATGGCCAACTGGATAAATGTACTTCTGTGCAATGCAGCACCACTGTATTGAACTGCATCTCCGAATTTTCGGCCAACTTTGACGAGACTACTTAGCTCAAAAACCCAGAAAACTTTCATCTTCGATGGTCAGATTATTCTTCTGTTATCTTCACTGAGAAAGAAGATAATTTTTGGACCTAGTAAAAGTTTGACTCAGGTCGGAACAGGCTTATAAGGAATCTTCATGAAAGATAGAGAAATGAGGAGGAAAAGAATTATTAAGAATATAAAGTGTAATGAAATAAGAAGGTTGTGGAGTAGTGGAAAAATAAAAAGAAGGATCAGGGAATTATAAAAATAAGATTACGGAGGAGAATAAGAAATGCGTGAGTTGCTATTGGCCGCATGGATGTTTGATTGTAGGTTACGAACGGCAGTTAGCTTCGAGACCAGCGAGCCCCCCCGATTGTTGAAACTGTGTCGCTGCGAGCGAGACACCGCGCTCTCTCGAAACATATTTTTGAACCCTTGATGACAGTGGCGCAGCGGAGAGCGGAGCTACAGTTGTTTCATGGCGGGAAAACAATAAAAAGTAAAAATTAAGGTAGATTGAAGGCTTTTCTTCACAGATACCTGGTAATAAAAATGGAAAATAATGTTGCTAGTGAGATTGGTAATATGCACACGATCTGAACGCAGTAGTATAACAAATGACGTTTTTGGATTGTGGTTTTCAAGATTACGACGACAGCTTGAAGATACAGTGTAAATCAAATTATTTCCTCTGTTCAGCTCAAAGGATTGCGTTGAGTAGCCGATATGGAAATTAGTTCAATTACTTTAGACTCCTATCGACGGGAGAAACACGGTTTCTGCTATATTCGGTTAGCAAGAGGGCGAACAGACAATGAAAGAGCTCTCTGGCGAACGACTGGAAAGTGCGCGCGGTATATTTACACTGGGTGTAAATTAATGAGTGTGGACAAGGGAGGACGAAACGAAAGAGGCGAAGAAAGGAAGAAAAAGGAATAAGAAACGAAAGGAAACAAGCGAAAAGCTATTATATAAATGAAGTGAAAAGAAAAATGAGAATGGAGGGGAAGAGAGAATTGGATGAAATGGGAAATGAGCGATAACAGAAAGAAACAGAAGCAGATAAAGTAAGGCGAAGGCAAAAATACTGAAAAAGAGAGAGAGAGGACAAATAAAAGGAGAGCATCGAAAGACAGAAAGGAAAACGGAAAATTATAATAAATTAAGAAAACAAAGGGGAGAAAGATTAATAAATACGTGAGACGAGTGGTAAATAAAGAATAAATAACAAAACGAAAAGGAAGAACGTAGAGTAACAAAGGAAGTTTGTGTCACGTGGCAAACCCCGACGCGCACCGCGCGTCGGGGCCATGGCTATTTTAGGGAGCATTTTCTGTTCGCCCTTTAACCCCTGTTCATAAGTGCGCAGATTTTTTACGCTACAGCATTGATACATGACTTGTCTGAACTTTTGATTTATCTTGACCAGACTTTTTCATTTGTCCCCGATCAGGGGCACGAGGCACAAAGTCGAAGTCAGCCTGACGTGTTACTTCAGAAACGCTTGAAGTCAGCGGGCATAAACAACTCTAAGATGCTGTCAGATTAAGCAGGCTCTGGTATCGGTATATTACGTGGATACGATACACGCATTTAAGTGTGTTCTTGCTATACATCGACCACGTGACCTTTCACACTAAACGCCGGGAAGAACTGCATTCAAGAGACAAGCAAAGATTTGTCGCTGTGGACAGATATGAATAATTAACACAAAATGGCGTGACTTACCCAGACAGACGAACAAAAAAGAAGGATAATTTAGTTTTGGGTGTTTTTACGCTGTGTCAGGTCGAAAGAATGAAGCACAAATCATAATGCAAGGGCGGGTAATAAAGTCTTTGAAAATGTGGCAAATTTCTCGTAACTGGAAACGACAATAAAGCATAAAAATTACTGTTCTGGTGGAAGTTTACCATCGTTTCAGACGTCCTTGCCGCCTCCATCATCAGGGCAATGATGGAGGCAACAACGTGCTACAACCCAGAAGATTAAGCGTTTACCTTAAGAATCGTATTGAACTCATAAATACCGCTTGTGGGTAAAAAGTACAGTTACTATGTGTATTTACCACCAGGCTTTAAAGCGTTACATTGCAACGAAGTATGAATTTTCGTGCAGGATTTGAGGTTTCCACGGCGGGGAGTCTGAAGATGTTTGTCTTCTGGGTTGTTGCGCCGCGTAGTCTTGCAGAAGTTTTCCGACGTTTCAGAGGTCCTTGCTGCCATCTTAATTTATGAATTTGCAGTTTATAAAGTTCATGAAATTTATGCGGTGTGTTATCCCAAAATTATTTTTGATGAAAGTGTAAACAGAGACATTTTTATTTCGTTTCTTTCTCACTGTCCTCTCCTTTTGTGCATTTTTCCTTTCTTTTTTTGTGGTTAAAGCTGTTCCTCTTTCCGAACTATGAAATGCGAAGGAAATGAAACATGCTCGGGTTGGATTGGCCTAGATGTAACCAATGAACGCAGGTCCTAATTGTGCAGACGTTAGAAAACAATTTGAGATAAGAATAATGTAGCGGAACGTGCAGTACGTGACCTCCTGACTCTTCGACTAATCTACATAAAATGAACAGCGCAGGCAGGCGGGACTGCGGTCGCCATGGTTGCGGGTAGACACGGGGCCGCGAGCCTTATCCCGCTAGTTGAGATAAATTCCCAACCGGCTTAATGCTATGGATACTCATGCAGTGCAGAAAAGGTCATCATTCAAGGTGACGTTGAATGAAGACCTCTCGTCGTCTTCTTATTTTCATTTAATGCTCAAAAGGAAGATTACCGTTACGTAAGAACCAAGCGCATCTTCATTCTCAAGGTTTAACCGGATAAAGCACGTGAAAAGAGAAACAGAGGAATAATAAGAACGAGGGATGATCGAGTATGTAAAATAGAATGGGAGATAGAGACTAATCGCCCGAGATGAATACGTGATCTGCTTCGGGCTGCAGTTTGTCAGTAATTAACTAACAACATCGTGCAGAGTTGTGCTTGAGAAGCTAATGGTCGCTAAGCTCGTAAAGAAATTTATCGTTTGTCATGAAACCCAATGGTCCATTGCTGCGTTCACAAGATCACCACTGACAAGACAAAAGCAGTCCGCACCCTCTCAATGACCATTCCGATATCATTTAATTATTTTTTGCTTCTCCTGTTTTAGTCTTCCTCCAGGCTTCACCACTAAAATCCTGAATGCATTTCTGGTTTACTTATTCTTTCTACATGTCCCGCCCATCAAAGAAATTTCCAGTTCTTTCTGATAACTTTAAATACCTTGGATTGTGATTAGGTTGTTAGCTAACGCCGGGGAGCAGAGTCCTTAAGAAGCTGACAACATTACGCTTAGCTAGTTGAGAAATCCCTCGCATTTTATGAAACACGAAGGTTCATTATCCTGATCACAAAAGCAATGCCACCAGTCCCTGTCCTAAGCCAATCCACACAACCAAAGTTTATTTCTTTAAGATCCATTTTAATATTATTCTGCCATCTACGCTTATATCTTCGCAGTGGTATCTTCCCCTCAGGCGTACCAATCATAATTCTATGCTCATTCCTTTTACCATTCGTGCTACATACCCCTTCCACCTCACCCTCCTTGATTTTATCTTCGTAATAATACATAGTGAAGGGCACAAATTATGAAGTTCGTAATTCTGCATTTGTTTCATTCTGCGCCATATTTGTGCTACTGACGGCGCCGTTAAATAGAGCGCAGACCTTAAAAAACAAAGAAAATATTCGTTTTGATTTAATTACAGTAATAACATTAGTCAAAGTAAATTTTAAGCATTCGAAGCTCACATCAGATATATTACGCTCATCATTATATAATTTCCACCATCCTCCTGTGCTCATTGAATAAAATGCTTTAATTATCTGCATTTAAGCCTTTAAATTTCAGTGATATCTACACGTACCGTCGGCTTTAGGACGTGTCTCGAAATTGGAGGCAGTCTGTATTTAGCTTCAGTAAAGATTTAGTAAGCCCTGTTTGTTAGTTAGTAATGTGTGATTTGCGCCAGCGGATCTGGTAGGAGCATCCACGGCCGGACGTTTCGTCAAGTCGACTGACACGCACTCTCTGTGACTCGCATTCGGTATAAACTGCGGTCCTGCCGTGGTACTCGTGACACTGTGTGCATGCGATGAGCGCCGTTTGCCTTGGTTTCCCGTCCTTGAGCCGCCTTCGCTCACGATGGCAGTCGGCAGAACTGTCACACATTTCACCGAGTTTACTGCGACCCTGCCTGTAGCTTGCGAAGATCGGTTTGTCCTCCTGAGAGTACCTGAGACCTGAATATCTTTGGGTCTGAAAGAGAAACAGGTGAATGAGGAAAACCTTGTAACTGAGAGCTTCAGAATCAGTACTCTTCACTGCAGGGGGCGTCACTAATATTTTTTCCGTAAAACTACGGAAGTCAGACATGGCTTTATTGCTCATTTTTCAGTGTTAGCCGGGCTAACATGGCGAATATGAACTTTAAATTTTTCTGACAAAAGTTAAAAAAAATCAGAGAAGCGTTTTCGCACGCAGTGAAGGGAAGATCCTGAACTGGACTTCCATCCTGAAAGTTCCGTTTTCGTATCTCAGGACGAATGCTGGGATGGTCCACGACAACTTCCTCCCAGGCTTTTCCCAGTCACAGTCATCCACCCGTTCAGCGCTACGTAGACTTTATAGCTGGGAAAACGTCCTGTAATAAAACAAGGTGAACAAACAGAATAATAATAATAATAATAATAATTTATTATTTCCATCTAATACTTTTCATTTATTTTACCATTAAAATAAAACACAAATTTACATAAAGAAATTATATTTAAAGACGTACATAAATGTAATGCCAAATATTTATAATAAAAAGTGTAAAAAATTAAATTGGTCAGTATGACTCTTGTTAATTCTCGCTCACTAATTTGTATCCGTGAAACAACTTTATCCTAACACTTTTGAAAAGGAAGGGACCATTGGCAGTAAACGGTTTTCTGAAAGGTAAAATCTTGCCGCGATCTAAAATTTCTCAACTGTAACACGCGTCCTGCATGTCCAGTGCATCTCCTACTCATTCATTTGATCGCCTTAGTAACAGTCTCTTTGTAGAAGAGGTGAAACGTCACAATTTTTACACAGACTTTTCAGATTTTAATTAATAATATTTCGAGACCATAGCTCGTCTAAATAATATTTAAGAATTCATTCCGCACCGCAAAGTAAAGACGACTCTTTACCATTAAAAAGATCAACTGTGTTTGCTGTTTAGGGAAATAATAGCTGCTTGTTCTGATAATTAATTCGTACTTACTCTCTTTACGTAAAGTTCAGAGTTTCGAATGCGTTAAACATATAATTATCACTGGGAAATGAAAGATTTGATAAAACAGATTTTATTTAGCTCGTGACAAAATATTTTGTAGGATGTACACAGCTTATTACCTGGTCATTGTAACGGATAAGTAAAGAAAGGATATAATAACGAGTGCTTGAATTGTAGCTGTGCTGAATGGGTACGTATGTAATCGTGTTTTGAACACTTTACCGCTGGAATAAGTTACAGTTGAACGTTCAAAGTGCACAGTGACTTGCGTGCTGTGAAATGAGTCAGAATTCCATCGTGTTCGACGTAACAGACGACCTGGGACATTCGAAGTGACAACTTCCTCATAGAGACGAGCCGAGGTCAGTATTGCGAATCGGAGTCTTTGGTCCACGCTCACAGAAATTTTTCCGCGTTTCATTGACTATTGTCCTCCGGTACAAATAAGAATTTCAAAGAGACATCTGAACTATGCAAACCATTTTGCTTCAAGCATGCCGTAGGGTCATCAGGTCGCTTTCGGCATCAGTGAGACGCCCGCCCATCTCAATAAATATCTTCGTAAGGGGCCAAGTCTCCGCGCGTTCGTTCTGGTAATCAACAGCTCTCATAAAAGATACTGCGATAATTACAACATTTATTGGTGACACTCTTACATGACTCACGTCTGCATTTAAAGGATCTGTACTTTGTAAAACAGTTTCATGTTTTCATGGTTGCGTGCGCTTTATTTAACTAGAAACGGACTTCGAGGAAAAAGTTCAGATACCTAAACACGTGCCACTTTTTTTTTATTGGGCCTTCTGTAACGAAGTCGTTTGGAAGGGAATAGGTAATGATGAATAATTGTTATAAGGAGGTGTGAAATGATAAGATGGACAGATGAAAGGCGTAGAAAAGGAATACACGAGGAAACATGGGAAGAGACAGACACGAAACGAATACAGGACAAGAACAGAGAAATGTGGGGTGTTGCGCCAGGATATGGTTCAAATCCCATGAATGACCCCCGTGTTCTTAAAAAAATATTGAATTTCAAATATCTGTTTCTCTACAACCGCTGAAAACTGGACCCATGTTCGTATGAGATTTATGACTGGGAATGGCTTATGGAATAATGCACTGAAGTATATTATCCCTGACATAAAATCACACTGATGTTCTGTATAATAACAGATTAATATCACACTGATAAGCTGAACTCACATACAAGAATTGTACTGTTAGGTTGAATTCATCGTAATTTCATGTATTTACGACAGATTTGGAGTAATATTTGCAAATTAACTCGGCAAAGAACACGACGAAGCTGAGTGAATAACCAACAAGAAGAATTATAAAAGAATATTTCATATGATCCAAAGTGAACACGAAATACGTGTGACCACCTTTGCATATTTCCATATTCTCACATTCTAGAAGCTTCGCCGAGCTTTTTAAACGCGTATTCAACATCAGTTCCGACGAATACTTCTTAACCAGGCCAGACTCAAAGCAGCGACGCAGGACTACATTTGCGCGGTTTAAAAGAGGGTTTCCTTTAGCGAAATACATAGTTACTCTTGCGAAAGATATAGTCTCGTCAATGGAACACAGGTGTCCGTATTTGCCAAATTTTCCTTCACTAGCAGCGAAATATTCTGCAAGCATTTGCAATCCTGCTGTTGCTACGTCATTTTCATCAATCAGACGCCTGAAAGATTCATGAAACGTTTCAGCTGTTTTAATAGGTAATTTTAATTTAAAATAAGTTTCGTATGATGTGAAAACAAATATCTTATTCATCAAATCTGGAATGTATACTGTTAACCTGGATTCAGCTAGCTCTTTCATCGTTTTAATTTGAGCTTCGTGACCTGGGTTCGCGAGAAATGAGATAAAGAATGATATGAACACGGAATTAATAAGGAAAGAGTACCAAACATAAATCAAGAAAACAGCTCTGATTAAGCTGCTTCCTGGCAACTTTGGTACAGACATGCTCAGAAAAATGGCCCATGCACTTTGCAAACAGTCGCACCAGGATACGCAATTAGGCACACGAGCTGTGGACCAAAATAATACAGATGTCAGAATGAGCACCAGAGCCATTAAAATAAATACTGATGGCGCAAACATTTCCTTGATCTTCTGAACTCTCGGTGTTGGCTGAGGACAAGGCACGAACCACTTGATGCGACTAAACATGTAAGGAATTGTGGGTTCTCCATAATAAATCATGACAGGATGTATCCACAAACATCCTATTGCAATATCTGAGACTCCTTCTAGCACAGCTTCAGAAAACGCCTTGTAGAATCTGTCTTCCAGTTTTCCCTCTGGAGGTGTACGAAACTCAAGTGTCATATTCATGTCTTTGCTTAACAAATGAAGATATTCGATTTCGATACCACGGTATTTTATGTTGTTTACATCTGTATTATTCTCCGTCATTATTACAGATGGAGGGAAATGTACAGTTGATACTGTAATGGGACATCCGTGTACGTTTTGCGGAAATTTTGACGGAAAATGTGTCATGTTTTTACGAAATCTTCCCTTGGTTTCATTAACCACCCACTCGTCAATTAGAAAAACTTCTTCTACTTCTCCGCATTGCCCTGATTCATAAGCGGACCAGGTGTATACATAGAACCCAGGACTTTGCTCAGTATCATTTCCGCTTAATAAATTAGATTTGGGTGCAGATGTGTGTTTATTTGGAATTATAACTAACACGTTAGTTAGTTTGTTTCCTTTCCACATTATATCTATTATTTCCTTTGCATAATACGTTGGTGAAAATTCTTCGTAACCGCTTGCCACGACAACGAACTTCCCTCGACGGTTAAACGACTCTAGAAATTCGGTCAGATTTCTCACGTGACTTTCCAGCGTAACGCCGATGTTCTCGTCTGCGTTAGGACACAAAAAGATGATGTACATATGGTGTTTATGAGGAATTAAATTCTCGGACACTGGTGTAGTTGGTCGTGAAATGAAGACTGGCCAAATGGTCTTCGTGTTTACGTTCTTGAGCATTGTTTCGATTAGCTCGAAGTAGATGGCGTGGTGATCGCGGGGTGCGAGTGTCCGGTGATTGGAGATCCGTTCGTCTGTCGGCAGTGACACGACGAGACTGTGTCCGGGTGGCAGTTGCCGGTTGAGGAGGGTTTCCACGCATGACAACAGCTGCTGGCTCTCCGAGGTTAGAAATTCTTCCAACGCTGTTACTGTACCAAGCAGAGCCCAGTAAGACAGCAGCAGTTTCAACGCGTTCCTCATTTGAACAGTTGGTATTTCTGAAAGAAATCACGTCCTGTAAAATATTATTACAGTAAACAAGACAAGGCAGACGAGTGGGACGTGTAGCATATGGGGGAAATGTGACGTGCAAACAAAATTTTCGTATGGAAATACTGAGGGAAGAAGCCACTTGGGAAATCTGTGCGTGGTGGTAGAACAGTATTAAATTTTATCTGATAAAATTGGGCGTGGACTGTACTCACCTGGCTAAGAATAGAACAAGGTTTTCATTAATCGATACTTGAAATACTCTAACAGTATAATAAGGAAGTTTCGTTCGGTTCGATGTCATTTGCTGTTAAGGGATTTTGGACCTTATGAGATAATATTTATGATGTATGTGTTAATGTAATAGATGCCATGGAAATTATGTTAAGATACTTTGGGTGTTATTTGATATTGATGTTTCTTACAGGTTAGGCGCAAGGCGTGAAGTAGCGAATATTTGTTTAAATGTACTAATCTTGTAGTTGCTTCTTACCTGACCGAGCGTTCCAAAAGCAAGCTCCACCAAGCTTGTTCGTGGCCAAACTGTTGCTTGATTATCATGTTTCGTATTCACTTTGCACATATCGATATGTCGCTGCCCTATATTAATCGAGTCAGGGGTTGAAGAGCACCTCAGAGGGAACAATTCACCCAGCATGTGTTCCGACACACTGGAGCGGAAAAAAAGGCAATTTGATATAGCGTGTAGATAACATGTTGATATATCCCTATCTTGTGATCTCAGTGTAGAAGACTTAATAACGATTGGTTGGTCATCGCATATATTACGCACTAAAAGTGTATCAATTACATTATGTTGCGTTGAACGCAGTTGTCGTAGGGACATCATTTTCAGCGTCTCTTTGTACGTAAGTTGACTTGTTTTAATGGAGAAGAAAGACTTGAGTGATATCGGTAGAATCTTTTAGCTCCTTCCGGTGAGTCATGCAGTTCTACCGGGAACTGGGAATTGACAGTTGCGTTCCGGTATATCAGTGAATGCGCTGTATTTTACGAACAGTTGATTGCAGTGTTATGAGATTTTGGGTATTCACGGTAGTGAGGATGATGAAGATGATGATGATCTTCTGGGCATCTGTCGACGAGTCCACACGGCGCCACAACACAGAAGAACATTATAAACTCACAATCTTCAAATCACACACATATTCATATTTTATGTCCAGATATTAAATTACGTTGGACATACTGTCATCGACGGGGGTAGAAACAGATTGAGTGTGAAGATGGCTGTCTATCTACCAGACTACACGGCGCAACAACCCAGAAGACAGCCATCTTCGGACTCACCACCGTGAAAACCTCAAAATCCTATTACTACTGTTTGAGTCTGTTTGGAGTCAAGTAGGTACATACGCCTATATGCCCTTGTAGCCTCCACAAATATTTATTTACTACTATTAAATCATATGTAGCCTACATACTTAATGTATTTACATTAAATTATATTAACACTGTTTCGCGTTACTCTAAATATTTAAGAAAAAAATTATCCTTCAGTAGGGAGATTATAAAAATAATTTTCATCGTCGCAGAGGACCGAATGGAAGAGGAGAATTGAGGAGGCCATGGACCGAATACGGACCGAAAAGCCATATAAGAAGAAGAATAAGAAGAAGAAGATTTTCATCATCGTATGCTCGTGAAGTCTGGTGGAAAGCAGGCGCACAGGACATTAACATGAGTGCGCTCCAGGGCATTTGCCTCATGCAAAAGACGTATAAAACAGAAAGACTTTGAAGTAACTAACGCCTTGGAATGGATTCCCTCATGAGAAGCGATCAGTCGGCTAAGAAATTCGCCATTTCAAATGGAATCTGAATTTTTATCACCGTGTTCGCAAGATCCCCCTCCCAACCATTCCCTGTACTGTGGCAGACGTGTACAACCACTCCCATTCCGTTTATTCAAAGACATTCTACTCGTAAATATGAGGTGGTCGTTGCCCACAATGCCTTTGTGTGTTTGCCTGTGAATCCCGTCGCTACGGGATCTCCTACTGTCGAACTAAACGTAACAGCTCGAACTGCACCGTAACTGTTACCTCACTCGTCTCGTTCTAGGCGATATTTTACGGTCGACCACCCACTTGAAACGATTCGCATAATTGAATCAGCCTATGTCCCGGTATTCCGAAGCAGGACATAGTCTCGGGTGAAGGCCCAGAAACGCTCCAAGCACCTGTTCGTATTTAAATGGTTAGGTAACGTTGCGAAGTGAGAAACGCCTTGGTAGCTGCCGAAACAAGAAACGTGCAGACGTAAATCGCATGAACGAAACGTCGACAAAGTGGATACCAAGTCCTAAGAAAATCTCAGTTTCATGTTCCGATAACCGTCTTAGGTTTGTGTTCGCGATGGATATTAGACAAATCAGATTTCAGGGAACGAAAAATGGATTCAACATATTTTCGGAGTTATTTTCCACGTCCCGAAATATTCTCGCCGAAACAAGCAATCCTGGTCTTGACACCGTTCTTCTATCGTGCTTAGTTTTCGGACTACAGAAAACACCCTCGCTGGAACTTGAACTCAGGACAGTTTCCCGGAGTTTTGACATATTTAAAAAAAAAATTCCCGGTCTCAAGGAATAAGCATGCAAAGTTTGGCGCAAAATCGGCGGATGCGTTCACGCGCTGTAAATTAACATACATACATACACAATTTCAATTTCATATAAGATTTAGTCCGTACCGCGAAGAAAACACAACACTTCACCGTTGCAAAGATCGACTGGTCAGCGCTGTTTAAGATAATAATCTCTGTGCATTAAACCAGATGATACATATAATAGGCTGAAAAATGGCGTATTGCGATTTTAAGGAAATTTTCCGATATGTCCGGTCTTTTTTTTTTCTCAGACAAAAATATCAATCAAAACTGTGGTATAAGAAAACACGAAAATGTACTACATTGCTCATCGGTCGCGTTTGTATGTACTTTTTTTCGCCATTTCTGTACTTCATGAACGATTTGATCGTATAGTTAAAAATGAAATCGTATAAAATATAAGACTCACTGCAGGCTTCCGGGACCATTCCAGCCGAACTACACGGAGTACTATACCGGATCTTTAGTCGCCAAAAAGTACCATTCATTCAAGTGACTTTGTAACGTAAGAAATGCAATGTTCTGTTATGATATCGCGTTTAACGGCGAGGGTAGGAGTACGCCTTAACCTCTGATCTGCAAAATGCCGGAGACGTATAAACACACGAGGTTAATAAGAACGAAAAAAAAAATCTGCATACCTAAAAGTGAGAGATTCCGTGACGTATTGTGCCCTTTTGTTTAATGGATGTGATCCATTTAAAGCTTCATACCATGGTGGCTTATTTGAATACAAAGGAAGGGCCGAGTTCTGTTGTTGTGGGTGGGCGCATCGGGCTACAGCATGTCTCAAAAAAGATGACACAAATTTCATTAAACATCACTTTCTAGTGTCGAGTGTGGTTTCTGGTCCTCAGCGCGTGTGAATATGGCTGTCTTCTTGTAGTGGTGAGTTTAATACTGCGTGGAGCTACACCACCATTTCCCCCCATACGTCTTCATTGCACACAGCTTTAATATCTTCTGCCTCTTCTTTCTTTGGAGCAGTTTGTGTGGTACGGACTTCGGAGTCTGCGCAGTGGAATCCGAGTGCCATTGAACGTAAATAGCTTATAAGACTGTAAACAGATTTGTTGTCAGTTGATTTCAATAAAGTAAATACAAACATCTGTCCATGCTGAGCGGACAACGGATCTAAGTCCTTGTAAAGTGTAGGACTGAGTTGACATTTCACTGTCCCCCGCTGCCTGTGGGGAAAATCTCTTCCTCGTCTGTTAGGTCACAGGCGTTCTCATCCGCAGGCCGTCACTTATCTGTGACAATTTGCCAAGATTACTGCCATTGAATGACTTATGTTCAACAAAGTTGTTGACAGTGGGGAAAGCAGGAATACGATGGAACATTGAGCTCAATAATTTTGTAGTGATTCCCCACGCTACTAAGCGGAAGGCCATATTAAACTCGGAGTGAAGACCTACCCTCACACTGCCAATTCCCCTGCCTTCAGTAGTGCCAACATGGTAGTTGTGCGAAATTTTTAGAAGGCGATAGTCATAATGGGCTCCTGAAACATTGTATAATAAAAAACAACAAAATATGATTTCTTCTCTTGTCATAATTTAGTTGTCAAGTTGTTGAACCGAGACGTAACGCAATGTTTTCTGTACGGTGTTATTTTGATAATGCGCCTAGCTTGTTTTAAATTATTCTCACTGAAAAATCAAGATAATGCAATTCTTTTGTGCAAAAGGGGAATAGTAGCATTTTATAATTTTCCCAGGCCGGGAAAAAATTCTTCTTAATATTCGGCACTGCACATAAGACTGTTGTTAATTTATCTATTTCATTTGCCTTCATAATAACACGGGATTATGAGTTCCTTATACCATAACATGTGACTATTCTTCTCCGTTTTAAGAATTTTAGTAGCCAACAACTTGATTTGGTTGTTCAGGAGTTACTTCTTTTTCGCACCAAAATCTTCAGCTGTTGATTTCTGCCGCTGAACACATGGGATTTCCATTCCCTTTACTTGCCAAGATAAAAACCACTTATCCAGAGCAACAGACTTGTTAAGTTTCTTTTTAGATGAAATCTTGGCGAATATCAGCAGAAAGAATTATTTTAGGCATTCCATCTTAATTGTGTGGATGCTCGTTTACGAACTCTGGGTAATTTTACTGTCATAGAAGTAAACCGGGGTAAAATAAAAGGTAAAGGATAGACGTCAAGCAACAGACAAGATACGTATCTCTTCCTTATAGACATCATAACAGTTACAGTGTTTTGAACAAATCAGGTGGTGTCTTAATTAGCGTGAAAGGAGTTTGGTGATCAAGGGATAAATCTTTGGCATTCTGTGCGTTTTTCTTGAGTTTGGGACCAGCGTGATGCATTGACAATTTTGCCTTATTCGTTCTCCTTCTAGTATCTGTAATAATTCCTTCATCGTGGATTCCACGTTAAGCGATGATTTCTGCGGGCCATCATTATGAACATATCAGTTGGGGGGGGGGGGAGATATAAATTCCACACCCGTAAAATACGTGGATTTCACTAGGCACTGTGGCAAAAACTCATCTGATAATGTAAGTCACAACAACGCAATATAAGTCACTTTAATATTTTACGTATAATTTCAGTAAGATTAGACTCTGTAAAATGAATTACCAGCTCCAGCCCTGAGAATGGAGGCAGTACGTTCTTCGCCTACAATTCCACACGCCGTTACAACCCGTAAGAATAACAATGACAACTCACCCCCATGACAATCTTGAGATCTCGTTGGATTATTGGGTGTTGCAAATTTGTGTTCACCCGGTACACGCACGGCTGCCTGCCAGCGCATCTTCCCGTTCACTTGTCTTTCTCTCCCGTTGCATCGTAACATAAAGGGCAAACGCCCATAAGGAGGTGGCGCGCATTGACTGCTTTGCTCTGCTCGCATTAGGAAGGCAGATCACTTGGTCGTTCATACACGAAAGGGCAGGCCACTAGCGCAGTCTGATTTTTT